AGCGGCCCGTAATCTTGTCCCCGAAAGATGTTCAGGCCTCTAAAAGCGACGATTCAGTCCAAGCATTAAACCAATCGAAACAGAAGTTCCACTTAATAACCTCTTTCTGCGCAAAACACGTTAGATCTGGCTGCCATCAATGTCCATCCAAGTGCGCAACTTGATTGGTACCAAAATCAGGGTCTCTCAGTGGGGATAGACGGTCACGGGTGGTGGTCACAGTTCCAACTGGAAACTCGCTTTACACACCGATGGGACATTATCGCGTATGTGTTGGGAAGGGGCGCAGTACGGCTTGGTGAGGGCACCAAATGACAGTCAGCGGCCTTGTTAGGACCTGTGAACTTCCACTCCTGGAGTGGCTCACCTTCACCATTTCATAGCGTCCCAATAGTTACAAACTTCAAGACGTGCTTCCTCCCAGCCGAACACCGCCCCAAAAAGTGCTTGGTTAGCCAAGCGCTTCTGAATGCGCCGTGCATTTGGCTTCACTCCACTTTGAAGTACCCACGTGATCAACATGAATGACCTCGACTTGATTTTGAGCGCTTCTGAGTCCTATGGGTGAGGTGGTCGATCCACAGGAGGTGGCCTCATCAACTCACGGGGTCACTTCTGCTTCTCTCGAGAACTCCATTCTGGGGTGGATTTAATCAGAACTTGAGCTCGTGGACGTTTTACCATATGAACACGAACACCACACCTCATTCGTATGAGGAACATGCCCGCTAATCGCGTCAAACCTCATGAGCACTATATTTTCTGGGAACTCCTTCACGAAGTGTGTACCCCTAAGTACAAATATTGGCTCGATTCTCTGCGATAATCCTGTCCAGGGCCCTTGGGAGCAGAGCCCTAGTCCTTCCCTAGTTCTGCCAAAACACATCGAAGAATTAGGTTGATTAAATGGTGCTGAATAACATGGATAAGAGTGTCGCTGCGGAAAAGTCTGACCTATACGTTGACAACCTTTGCCTTTTTGACCCATTCACCTTCTAACTTTGCCTTGCCCACCCCAGCCGGTAGACAGTCATAGAAATACTACTACCAGATTACGATAGGCTAGGTAGCCATGTAGTTCGACTCTCAGACTTTTCCAGACTTTTCCAATTACAGAATCGAGGCGTCGTGTTGGCTGTGTCGCTGATAGCGTTGGCCATCTGGGATACGGTACTGCTATGGTGCGCGTTTTTCTACTATGCCATTCGAAAGCTACCGATAGCCATCAATTCCGACTGGCTGAACGTCCTTATGCCTTGGTTCCATCCGTTCTCACAAATCGCCAATACAGCAGCGGTCAGTGCTCTACAGGTTTTCTGACAAGAAGTCTAAAATACTTCCTACTTTTGTTCTGACAGCACAACGACTTTCTTTCAGACATGGTGCGTTGTTGCTATCACTTGGCAACGATTTATGGCTACGAGGGACCCGTTCAGAACGCCAAGGTTTGTTCATAATCAGTTTGGACAATACTTTGGAAATCATGTGACAGCAACAGACCGCGCTCCACTGCCAATCGTTGGACAGTTGCAACCGTTGTAAGAATCTCTACGCGGAGTGCCACTGAAATGGTAGCCGCAGAAGTCCAACGATTATCGATACACCGCGCAACGAATCCCATCCCTTTTCTACGCGCGACTGCGTCGAAGTATGAACGCAGCCTTACAGCAAATGGTGAATATAGTAGAGTTAATAGAGTAGTTAACACTTAGTGAATCCACAATAGATTGTACATCGGCTGCCCCCCCCCTTCCCACCTTCATCACGAGACCGAGGTCAGGGCGTGGTTGCTTAGGCCAGGCTTTAATTTGAGGCTTCTGCCATTTCGAGGAAAGAATGACATTGGCAACTGGTATTAACCACCTTCTAATTCAAGATGAAAAACACTGCGCTTGGACTTCATAACCTACGCGAACCCTATCACCCATCGATTTGCACCCCCCCCAAATGGCCATTTGGCTTACACAAATCTATATAAACCCAGTTTCAGATCAGCAGCATTGGTACATTCGTTTCGAAGTGAACGGCGGATATCATTCATGTATTGCTCGACATATCGACGACTACTTCGGATGCCTATCGCTCTGTCAATTGGAGCTGTACTACTAAATATTCCAGCATTTTTTGAGCTTTACAATTACTTGTGCTATAAGGCAGAGGAGAATCGCGTAGCGATTTCGGTATGTCATTAAGTAACTAACAAACTCACTCCCAAACATTTTGAGGTTTTCATTTTGGGGCGTAGGGGCATTCGAAGACTTCTTGTGCGGAAAAAGGACTACCTCAACAGAGCTGAGGACTTTCGCCCTTTAGGCTGTGAGCACGACGGTCGGGGCAAGCGCTTATGCCAAGCTCATTGAATAGCTGAAGAAGGGGGTCTAATGCTTTGTGTGGGGAGTGGTCAACAGGCACGCTGGCAAAGAAAGCCCGCCTTCAGCAGTCGTGCCCACTGCCCTTAAAGAGGGGTGGAGTTCCTGGATAGGCGAATCACATTCATGTACAGAAATCAGACCCTCGTGAGAATAGTCCAGTTTCCACAAGGAGTCCATTGCAGCCCCGGAGGGTACCGACCCCCTGTCTAAACTAGTCTTTTTAGGTGCGCCCTACTGCATTGCGCTTACAAAACGCCTACGCATTATACCGTCTGATCTCACGGATGATTGCCGTCTCAATTGGACCCAATCTTGGCATTCTCAGTAAGTCATTTTGTATAACTGTAATAACGTTCATTAAAGCTCAGATCTTCAAATTCTTTCGAAGTTCCAAAAAAACCCTTTCCTGTTGATATTTTTGGTTTAAAAAAGGCTGAAGGGAATATTCCTTTGATCAGTACGCTTCCACGTTTTTGGGTGCCATTTTGCCTTCAGACCGGGGCGAGTCGTACTCTGAGGATCTCTAGGGAGGGGCATCGCATCTGGCGCCGGAGGGAAGGGGAGGGCGTGTTTGTCTTTGTGGAAAGATGTTTAGGTTTCAAACTTTTCTCGGTTCTCGCTTCGTTTGTTCGATTCAAGTGCGCCAGTCCCCTCTACCCCGAAGTTTTGGAGGAAAAATGGGAGAGATTCTGGCAAAAAGAAAAATTCCGGAAAAGTTGTAGGAATTTAGGAAAAATTCGGACAAGGGTAGGAGGAATGGGAGAAGGTGTCTACAAGTGAAGGAAACTCTGAGGAGGGGTCGTCTTTCGCGAAATTTCTCATCAACGGCAGGGCGCGCCCTGCTTCAACCAGTACCCACGCTTTCTGGCCAATGAAGAATTACCTCAATGAGTCAATAACCCAGTCAAAACTAGCGCACTACCTCGAATTGAGCACCTGAAACATAAGCTAATAGAGTATTACTTGCAGTCCTAACCCTGCTCACAGTGTTCATGCTTCGCGGCTCTAATCGAACACGGCGTCAAATGTTTCAAATGAGCGATCACTTCCTGGACCGTAACGCATCCAGGTTAGTAAATCCTGACTACACTACCGTTTCTGGGGACACAGCTCACGATGGTCGTATGGGTGGGATCAGGCCTTACGGTCTGGTTGGTTCGATCCTGCCTGTACGGTCATCGTGGACCGTCCTCAAGCTCTTCATTTACAACCTATTACAAACTGATTACAGAGAGATACTGCAGACGCTCATCTCTATCATGCTGGTGTCAAAATTCTTATGCTTTAGAAGTCTGACATTTGTGGTGAGTGGTTTCTTACACTACTTAGCTGCCGCAACCAGGGTACGCCATCGTTGTGATCATCACAAGGGGGGGGGTCGTATTTGGTCAGAGAAAATTTTTTTGATAGTTGATTTCTCTTGTTTCACGGACGCTGTAAAGGGGGGGGGGTCGTACTTGGTCAGTTCACGGACGCACTACTATTTCCGACACTTGAAAATGATAGTTTAATTCTGACGACCCCGCTCGACGGCTCGGTTCGATGAGGAAGGACAGAGGGCTGGGTCAACTCCCATAAAGGGAGGGATATTTATTTATGGATTATATATTATTATATTATTATTTATGTTAGTATGGAATAAGGGGGGGGTCGTAATTTTCAGAAAATGATCACAACGCGATGGCGTTCCCTAGCCGCAACATCAGCTTAACCACTAAATACAAGAAGAGCTCGGCCATTAGGTTCATTACTACGAAACTAGTCATGACTGCGGGCGGTAACAAAGGCGGGTGATAGACTCAAGTCAATCGCCTTGCTTTTGGCAGCCTGCTGTGCGTGCTGCGCCGCAACTCGAACCTATTGAGCCGCACCCCACTTTCCTTAGAATTATTGGAAATGCCTATTTTGGCTTCACACGAGCACGCTCATTCATCAAATTGTGACTAGAAGAGAAAAAAATCTTCTTGCCGTAGAAACACTCCCTTCCAGAGCGGCAATTGTCCTACCAAAAGCGTAGTCACGGCCAAGATCAAATGAAGAACGCAGCCACGCCCACCCCATTTCCGGGATACAGAGTGTTCATCATGTTCATGAGTGTATCATACTGTAGTCAAAAAAAATATCAGGTATTCCTATTTCAGTTAGATCTGGTCGAAGTCACTGTCGGCGATTACAATTACTATTTGGTGGATATTTCGAATTTTCTTGTCATTTTGAATTCGGCCACCAACAGCTTGATCTTCCTGAAAGCTAGTACATGGCTAAACAATCGACTAGTTGAACGGAAAACGATGCGGCGGAAGAAGACCGTCTGCGATTCGGGGTAAGATAGCCTTTTATTATAACTTTCACGCTGGTCGAGTTGGCGGAGTCAGGCGGCCACTGCGCATTTCTAACTCTTACACCCTTCTCTTAAAGAAGAGGCACAGCAATAGGCCTAGCTCCACCCATTATACTATAGTGAAATGACACCACAGGGATGTTCTTATGGGCAAAAGTCTAATCCCAGTGGGCTCGGACCCATGCCCTACGTTTTTCTGGGCGAGTGTGCTATCCGTTACGCCACTAGGGCCGCTCCTACCTTCTCGGCTTGGCGGCCCGTGTGTGTGGCATTTGAGGGCTTTCATCTTTCCTCTACAGTCAGGCAGAGGGCCATGGCCCCCATTTGGAGCCATTTCTAGTGCTCCTATACTTTTGTATGAAAGGAGGAAACCTGGCCTCACACAGGGTCCATAGCCCTGACTCAAACTGTCCATCTTCTCCACTGGTCCTTCGATTTTACCAATCCCGGACTAACATAAGTTCACCCAATGCTTGCTACCTTATCGTAATCCTTTCCGGTTTAGGCAACTACTCGGTGACCGGCTCAGTATATTGTCGTCGACATGGCAGATGGGCAACCAAGGATCCATGACCGCTCCAAAACGAGACAACGACAACAATCCTGGAATGAGGATACTGTACTCAATTCTTCGTCGTCAGCCCACACTCTTCTCCGTGTTTCGGGTCCCTAATCTCGTAATCATTGCCAACGACAAAGTGAGTCAGGTAGGTTGCCTAGAGAAAACTTCTTTTGAAGGCACATTTCGCATAGCAATAGTATGGGCCAAAATACGATCGTAAAGGACTCCTTTATGAGGAGAAACCAGAAAGAACAATCTGAGCGCATTGAATAACCCTTTTGGGCTTCAATCCTATGCAGTGTATGAGCAGAGGGGGGTAAAACGTCCGATCGTGGGCTCAGCCCCTCTTAAGTGCGCCATGCATTCCGCTTTCAACCATAGTCGTAGTAGCATTCCTATGTGATCTTGGTATCAATTTACACTATATTAATGCTATAAAATTGCATGTGGGGCGAGTATAGATGCACAATGCGTTATTATACTTCCAGACGAGCCTGATCCCAATTTACTGACCCCGGAGGGATGGGAGAGTGACTGGTCTGGGCGGCAGCCGATCGCGGAGTTGACCGTCGAACTGTGCGCGTTTTAAACGGGCCAACTCTCGAATTCCATGAACATTCAGCGATGAAACACTGAGCGCCCGAAAGATAAGAGCGAGAAATACTGTGCACCTTCTGCGGACATGGGCGGGTAGCCAGTGGGTGGAGCCTGAGACACATCCCCAGCCTCTAGCGTCCTTGCCAAGCACTCTTTAGCGAAGAAAATTGTACACCAACAAAGTCGTAGTTCACCGCCCCTCGAATGGTGGCCGTTTCAAGAAAGCAACCAGTGGTAGCAAATGCCACGGGCGGGCTCGTTCCACGTCCCTCTTGGCACCGCTCCGCCAGATTGTGACAATATCAACTGTATGAGAAAAATTCCACGTTTCTTGTAGCGAAATGTGCCTTTGACGAACAAGTTGGTGCTTGCCTAAACAGTAAACAGTTTGAACATAATAACCATTTACAGATAGAGGCTGAAATGCCGTCGTTATTCACCAATGGGAGCGCCAGAAGTTTCGACCCGCTCACTAACACCAAGTATGTGACTTGATCTTTTTGTTTTCCTCATTTGTGTTAAGATTTCACTTTCTGGAATTACAAGAGACTTCTGAAGCTGGGAGCTACCCAACAATTCAAGCTGCCAGAGAGCACTCGCTTTACCTATTGGGAAGTATTTCTTCAAACCGAGTCGTTCTCTAATTCGGAAAAATATCCAGTCCAATTTTGGAATGCGCCATGAGTACGGCTTATACACTAGTAATGTGTTATTCAGCCCATAAACTTTTGATGATGCAGTGATTTTGTGAAGGAGGGAGCCAGCGTGAATTTGCTGTATTTTTGGGCTGGCCTTATATCTATTCCCACCCGAGAGCGGACGGCTTTTTCTCCCAGAGAAAGTTTAACATAGGAATCCTTTCACGTGTAAGACGTATGGTGATGCAGCTACTTTTCACGACCCTTTCTTGAATGTTGTTTGGAAAGGGTCAACTAGCAACAGCCAAAACTGGTGACTAGTTCAGAAAACAGCTGACCGTTTAGTACAGAAACTTATGCATCAGGTCAGATAGGTTTGTCTTCCCATCAACCCCTCTCCATCATACCCTCCCCGCTTGGTAATGAGGATACGTTCAGCTTCTCGATTCAACCTAGCCAACAAAGAATGTTCAGGTTCATGGAAGTGGCACAACGAATTACTGCTTTCATGGGTGAACTCATAAAAATGATGAAGGACGGCAAACCCGAGGAGGTGAGTGAACCTATTTTTTAGATTCTTTCAATATAAAGGATAAAGTCTTCGCCGTTGATCAATCCTCTCAGTGGCGATGCGGCACGCATTCTACTTCCCATTCAGAATCGTAGTGGCTTATTGAATGCGATGTGGCCTATACAATGACTTGCGGGGGCCAGCCGATGTACAAGTCAGTGTTCTCTGGTACCAATTTACCGTCCCCGAAGGGTAGAAGGCTTATTGGCCTCGGCGAGAGTCCACTTGGGATTTCAAATCAGGACCGCGCGAGTGGTAAGCGCGCTATATACTTATCACTACAATACCTCCTGTCCTCTTTCAATATATCCTAAATAAATAATTTTATATTGTATTTCCTGATTAGGAAGAAGTGCTATCTCCCTGGGGATGAGGAATATTCTGAAAAGAGTCGCCTACAAGGCCCATCTTCTAATTGGAAGATTCAGAAGAGTCACGTGACAAGTGGAATTTTTTGTAGGAGTTCTCGCAAGGAAGGGCTAGAGCGCAGAGAATTAGAGGACAGCTGCTGTGAAAGCATCAAAGGGTGCAAAGGGGCATGGCGACAAGCTAAGGGAGGAGCTTTGTCAAGAGGCGGGGTTTTTAAGCTGGATGGACCACTTATCATAATAAATTTCGGAACATGTAAGGTACGATGGTCATAGACAATCGCGGAGACACGACAGCAAAGAAGAAAAACAGAATTGTAGCCAGTATCATAGGGACTAAGTTCAAGTTGTCCATAGACCGCCTTCAAGCCATTTTGGATTCAATAGCCTGTTCAGAATCAATGAGACAGCAAACAGTGCAATCATTCCTAATTAATTATGCGGCTAATAACTTCATAGCAGTACCATCTCACGATACATAATAACCCCTCTAACAAAGGACCGGGTTATACAGTAATTTCAAATCATATTTGCGGTTGAGGCGAAAAGTGGGAATGGTAATCTGGGGCGGAGCTTCCCATGACTCTATTGTGTGTAGGGGTAATGCAGATTGCGCTTTGCGAAAGAGCAGAGGGTAAACGATAGATATATAGATAGCTAATAATAAATATTGATAATAATACGTAAAAAATAATAATCAAGATAAAAGTGTTTATTAATGATGATGAGGTTTCAGTACATCGTCATGCGAATTCGTCGCGTTGGAGCAATTCACTTCCAACACGGAATTCCATTCCCATCTGCAGTATGGCGCGAGTTCAAATCCAGTACAATTACCATCATATCAGAATGCGAATTCAAGAGTCATGATGTGAGTTGTTTACATTTTCAGAAAGTAAACAATCCTTTTTAATGAGGTATAAGAATGACTAAAAGCCTAAGAATACCTCTGACATCTTTCTTTTGTCTCTTATGATCCACCTCTTCTGAGTAACATGTGGCTGTATAATAATAATAATAATAATAATAATAATAATAATAATAATAATAATAATAATAATAATAATAATAATAATAACTAATAATAACAATGGTGATACCTAATAATAAATAACAATATAGGATAAGAGAGGGCGCTGTTCGGCTACGGGGAAGGCATTTCACACTTCGCTGCTTCCCATTGTTGGGAACATGATCAAAGCCATCGTTGCTGTGAAACACGGGGGACGTACTTGCCGCTGGGGGAGGAGGAGGGGGGGTCGTACTTGACCACTGGGGAAGGAGAGTGGTCGTATGTGCCTTTGAGGAAATATGCCGCTATGGAAAAAAATTTTCCGGTTCTTGACTTTTCGCGGTTTTTCCCTTTTCACATTTGCTATATATCCCTCCCCACCTTTAGTTCAGGGCACATCGTTGTTGGGGAATCCCCAATAGGGGGGGTCGTATTTGGCCGCCAGGAGAGGGGGTCGTATTTGGGCTGGGAAAATTTATTTTGATAGTTGATTTTCTCGCTTCACGGACGTTGTAAAGGGGGGGGAGGGGTCGTACTTGGTCATTGTTGGGAGGGGGGGTCGTATTTACGTTTTGGCGTTGTAGGAGCGGTGGTTGACTTTTTGTGATTTTCCTGTTTCATGCGTACTATATATACCCCCTCTCGACGGCTAGATTCGACGATAAGGCCAGAGAGGGGAGGGGGTCGTACAGACTCGACTAAACTCCCCAACCAATAATGTGCTTGCTTAGTTGGTGGCCCCTCCAAAGTTCAGTATAAGTACTGTTTCTGATAGTTGAAAGTAGTAGTAGTTGTTAACGACCTTACTCCCCTCCCCGCCAACGGAGAAATGGAGGGTGTTGAGGTGAAGGGGCGGGTTCGTACTGGCGCAACTAGGAACCCTCTTTCAGGGGGGAGGGGGGTTCCACTGACACCACCATTTCCCACATCACGATGCTGTACACTGGTTGAGATTCAAGATTTGTGAAATCTTATGGAGCCATGACGTGAGACTACCAAAATTTGTAGCAGCTGATTGTCATCCCTTGTAAAGAACAGCCGTCAACTCTTGTAAAATAATGAACACGATGGGAAGCAGTGAACGTGGAAAATTCCACCACCACGCAACACCTCCAAGCCGAAGAGGGCCCAAAAAGTCCGAATGAATGGGTCCGAAAAGTTGAAAGGAGATTTTCCGATTTTTTACAACATACGCATCACTGCTGACGAGTGGAAATACAAACTTTTATTTATATATCAATTTTTTTATAGTTTTTCAGCTCCATTCCACAATTCTTGAGATCAGCCAGAAGTAAAATCCAAACTCTTAAAACTTTGAAAAAAAAAAAAAAACTGAAAACCTCAGTCGGATCTCGTAAACTATTCTTACTAAAATTACTGATAAACACCTATTAATTAATGTTATTAAGCACCTATTTATTAATTCTTATTTTATTGTCGTGGCTATCTAATCTTTCTTAGTTTCTTTTTTTCGGGTGGAGAAATGTTAGTCCAAAAGGCTTCTCCCTCAACACAAACTGGATACCGCTCTGGTTAGAAAAAATTGCCATCGGAAACAAGCGGAAAAGTGACTAAAATAGCCAAGAGATCAAAAATTGGCAAGGTTCCCAGTCTTTCTTTACACGTATGTATATGGGAGGTTTAAAGTTCCCATGAGCGTATGAAGAAGGGAATAAGGACTGTGAGAGCTTCAGACCTCCCATGTGCGCGTGGGAGGAACGAAGACCCCTACTAGCCTGTTAGGGGGGGGGGCTTTATCGTAACGCTAATTGCCAACAAGGCAGTCAGACCTATCTTTGGGTTCAGTTCACCCGGAGCTTATTAAACCTCGGAAAATAGTATTTTAAAAAAAACTGGAAAAATTGATATTTAAACAAAAATCGTCACAACCACTATTCATCCGAGGGAACAGCGCTTTTTCATTTATCTATTTTCACTTACTGTTCTGTTTTTACTAGTACTAATATGTTCATCACTATTATAGTATTCTATTCCGGAGCTTTCAGGAGAAAGAAGCTGCACTGGACGCGTGGAATTACTTTGTGTCATTCATCATACGTGAAATGAAAATGGGCACATGGGCAATGGGCGAGACACTTGGATCGATATCCTGACCAACATCGATCAATACGAATCGATAATTCTTGTACAAAGTTGTGACTTCGTTTTTACGGCTGTGATCATCATAATGCTACTACCGTGTCGCAATTCTATATTTGGATTTTTTTATCGCTTTATTTTCAAACTTTTGCGACATGACGTCACTCATTCTCGCCATTCTCTTCAATCGGGTATTTTGATCGCCTTTATCACTGTGTCAATTTTCTTTTTCATTATCATGTTCATCTAGTCTTCCTTAGAACCTACGCGACAGTCCACAATGGTGTTACATGTGCGTGGCGTGTTTGCAGCGCGTATGCACAGAGCCAAACACTGAGTATTAGCGCGTCGCATACCGCGACGCTGACATTGCACCATTATGGTCCGCTGATAATTATTTCCAAAATCTACCCCTATTGTAAATTGTATGGAACATACTAGGAATCTATTAATGTATACAAAAATAAACCATTAAATGATGTTGTTGTTAAGACTCACCCAGTCCTTGGAAAGCGTGAGAGAGTTGATAGTAACCTGATCGTCGATCGATATTTGAAAAGCTCCCATGTCGTGAAAAATGACGTCATCCTGAAACGTACTACAGTATGAGCATCAGATTGTAGAGCTAATGAGAGCGAAAGATAGAAAAATCAAAACAAAAGAGGAAGAGAGAGGAAAAGAGAACAGAACAACAAACAACAACAAGCAAACAAACAACAAGTCAAGCCAAGGTAATAACACTGAAAGAAAGCGAAGCGAAAAAAGTTTAGGATGAGTAGGCGCGCCATTCCCCACTCTTCTAGAATTCTTCATTTTCTCCAGGACCTTTTGGACCTCCTATGACCTCTTAGTCTTGCAGAAGCAGCGACCTTTTTTTTCAAGAGAAAATCGTCTCTTATGTCACCCTTACACTTCAGGACAAAGTCAGTAGATCAGAGCTTTTTTTCCTGGGTTCTTGATTTTATACGTAATGATCTTGCAAATGATAGGACTTGCGACGCGGCGCGTATTGGAACGCAGTCAGGGTGCCCTTCTCCCACCAATGACGCTATCCTGAGCCCGCTAGAACTGGTGTGAAGTCTTGTCTGGCGGCGCTCCAAGCCATGCCCCCTCAGACGCCCTGTCGTTGGTAGGGATCATGTTTGGACTTGCTCGAACGCCTCTGCCCTCTGTGGGTTTCTTGAAAGGATAGAATCAGCGTGTGAGCGACTCTGTTCAGCTTAGGCAGTTG